TTTTTGTATTTTTTTATGTCAAATTTTCAGCTTGCAAGGCTAGAGGGTCGGATCTGCGATGTCATTTCAAGGTATATTGATTTCAATTTGTTGTTAATGAGCTAAGTTTTAAGATCTGTTGTTGTTGTAATGTTTTGCATTATTGTAGTATTTATTGGAATCTGTGAAGGTTTTGGAAACTGGTGAAATGTGTTAAACTATTTTTAAGTTATTCTTGTAAATGTACCAAATCAAAAGAACTTGATGATTAACAAGTGTCTACTGTCAAAATTTTCATCCAATGGAGTGTATTTTGGGGATTTTTAAGTATGGGTAGTAGTTACAAAGTAATCAAATACTTTAAGTGTGAATACTAATGATTATATATGTTAAAAACATTATGCACTAACACCAGAATGGTTTTTTATATGCCGTTAAACTTGTAATTTCTAAGTTGTTGACATTGGTTAATGTTAGTATTGATAGAGGATTTGACAAGTTATTTGACTTTTGTTGCAATTGTTGAGTTCACTTCCATATGGACTTTTTTTAGTAATATATGTAACTTCATTTCCTTGGGGAAACGTCTTTTGGAAGCCTTGTGTAGTTAATAAACCAGGGCTCCAATTACCTCTTAGAATCTGATTCTTATAAACATCAAGGATGTCTTTTAATTATGTTAGAGTGAGTCTGTTCTTAGCATTACAAAAATGATTAGTTAATTCTGAAACATTGTGTGATTTTCGTTATGCCATTAACATACCTCAATGTGATGGCTGATGGCATGTATCATCATAGATTTGTGAGTTCATTTTGTACATTTGTAAAGACATGACATATGTATAATGGAACAAGTAAAATTTGTTTGATATTTTTTTTTGGTGCACCTAATTTGCCTTGTTAACTTTGAATAATTTGAAATTTAACCTGGAACAAAAAGCAGGGTTCCGTTGCCTCTTAAGAACGGATCTCTCGTAAACTTCAGGGAAATCACTGCATTGTTTTTGGGTGAACCTCTGGACTTACAAGTGCCAAAAGGTTCAGTTAATGATGGAACATTTTTTACATTACAATTCCTTGTGTCATTTTGTTGATTGACCTAATTCAAAATCTTTGTTAAATTCTCTGTTTTGAAAATATATTGATCATGTGTCTAATCCCTTCTGTTTGATCACTTTTGTTATATATAATAATTTTGAAATGCTAGTTTCTAATTAAGTTTTATATGATTTTTCTCAGAACACAAGGGAGACAGCCCATGCTATTAGGAAGATGTCTTTGGTTAAGGCTAAAAGATATCTGGAGGATGTCTTAGCCCACAAGCAGGCTATTCCTTTCCGACGTTTTTGTAGGGGTGTTGGACGCACTGCCCAGGTGAAAGATCGTCATCCAAATGGACAAGGACGCTGGCCAGTTAAATCAGCCAAATTCGTTCTTGATTTACTGAAAAATGCAGAGAGCAATGCTGATGTAGGTCTTCAATCAATTATTTTTCAGTGATTGTAATTCTAAAACTTATGATCTCATTATTTTCTACCTACATGCAGGTGAAAGGCTTGGATGTGGATGCTCTATATGTTTCACACATTCAAGTAAACCAAGCCCAGAAGCAAAGGCGTAGGACATACCGTGCACATGGAAGAATTAACCGTAGGGATCCCCTTTATTTCATAAGCTTTTCTTCATTGATACTTTATGCTATAGCACTGATGTTGTAAAATTCTTTGGCAGCCTACATGTCATCTCCTTGCCATATTGAATTGACCTTGTCTGAGAAAGAAGAACCTGTCAAGAAAGAGGTAGTTATTGAAATCATTTCCCATTTTGACAAGTTCTAGCTAGATGTGAGAGAAATTGATTTTCAGTAGTCTCTTGCTTCATATTATGCAAAATCTTTGGATACTTGTGAATGTTGTTTATTCACTTTCCATTGTCTTGTAGGCTGAGACCCAGTTGACTCAAAGTAGGCCGAAGAAAACTCTTCGAAGTGGTGCTTCCTCGTAAGCGGTGAAGTTTTAATTTGCTGAGAGTTTTGAGCTTGTTCAGTTTTCAATTTTTCATCCAGTTGTCTGAGGCAATTTTTATTATTCTAGATCAAATATTCTCGCCCTTGGAGATCCTTGGGCGTCTTTTTGTTCCAAATATACTTTTTGTGATTTAGTTTGGATTGATAGTTACTTGGTTTTAAATTAAATATGGTCAGCTTAATTAATCATTTCACCCATTTGAACCTTCATTAAGAATTTTTACCCTATCATGTTTTAGAAGTCTATGATCACTTGTTTTAACCTGATTTATCTCAACTTCCTGTAACATCTCAAGTTGACTGGCATGTCTTAATGAAGTTTCCTGATTAAGTTAGAGTTGGATTCCAATGATTTTGTAACTACTATGATAAAAGCTGGCCAAGATGGTTATCTTTTAAAATTAGTGGTTGTCATCTGATATGGACAACTTCTGATTCTGCGACCATTTTATTTTTCACATAGAGATCTTGTTATCTCTGGTAAGTTGAGATCTTAAACTAAACTGTGTAAACACATGTTTGGTAACAGATCTCTAATCTCTGCAAACTGTGTGCCTTCTTGTCATTGCTCCTAGTTATAGTTATCTATCATAGTGCAATCTAAACTAGTGTGTGGTTATGCCAATTGTGTAGAAGGCTGGTATTTTCTGGTATTCGGGTTGTAATTTTCCATCATCAGAAGGCTGTTAGTTTTGAATTAAATCTGCCCTAAAAATAAGTGTGCCACTTGCCACAAGTTTTGTTATTTCCAGAATAAGTTTTGATTCGACTGTAGTCTAATGTTGTGATCATGGAAAGGCTCTTCTGAGAAAGATCTCTTGGCGATTCTTGTTTTGTAGCTCAAACATTGAACATTAATGGCTTGCAAAGTTTCTGTTGGTTTATCACTCACTTGGATTTTCAAAATGCACCAATGCTACAATGAGGGTTAAATTTGTGGATTGTTGACGTTGTAATGGAAAACTATCTTCCAGAAATTTGGGCAGGGTGGTTTACAAATCTGCTCTAGAGAATACTTGAAATCTGCTCTAGAGAATACTTGATGAATTGTTTGGGTTTCTATATTGGATGACATTTAGAGCATGTTTTGGCCTTACCCCTATTTTCATCAAATCAAACATAAGTTTTTTTGGCTTAGGTCTAAGTAGAAATTGCCAAGTTATTTGATGAGCAGTTATTTGATGAGCACATAGGACTTCAACTGTTTTTTTTGTCTTTACTACTACCACGTACGAAAACACTTTTTAATCTAAATGGGCAATTTGTTCTTGTTTGCTTCGGTTTTTCTTTTTTTTGTTTTTGCTCATCAATTTTTTCTTGTTGTCAATTT